GATGAAGTAAACATTACATTTATTTAAAGATATCATTAGCTATATAATTATGCACATGTAGAATTTGCAATATATATGCAGGTGCCTATTATATTTACCATTTGAATGTAAATGTACATGTTTTAAAATACATATACATGTAGGATAATATTTTCTAGTCTCCAAAAGTATATGTATATTAAATGTGCATATTATGCATGTAAAGGTATACATGTACGTGTAGATGCACAAGTGTATTAATAATTAAATTTGAATTCATTGTTACAGTTTTTGGATCTAACTAAGATTTGGTGTCATTGTTTATAACAGCACTGAGAAGGACAGACTTATTACATTTTAATTGTTATTGACTATCATGTGTTTGTTCATGTATGTTATGTATTTTGATAAATTTTATATTTTTTTACGAACATTAAAATAATAAATGCACATGTGATAACATAACTATTGTACTTAAATGTAGCAAAAATCTACTTGTACATGTAGATTAAATCATCATTGAGTTTGAATTTTCACATCATGTTTAATAATGTTTATTGTCTTTCGATGGCTGTTGTATAGTTGCCTTTTGTTGTGTAGGGGACATCCATTTTGTTCCTCAGCTGGTGTAGCTTTGTGTATCCTTCCTTAAAGTCTAGAGGATTACTGAATGAATCTACCAGAAGCTCACATGTTGCTGAATACAGTCAACAGCTTAGTCTCCTCTTCATTGGACAACAAATTAGCTGCCACTTTCTTCTCGCACAAATTTAGAGACCGAAAAATTGAGCATTTGCTATATTTAGAATATGTTGTGTCAGCCACCATATAAACTTTACTGGAACAATTCATACAGGAATAGTGTACTGTGATGTTTTGTACTCCGATGATCTCATCTTGTTTAAGTTGCAGTGTTGCTTCGTACACTCCTTCAGCTACAACAACTGTGTTGACTGGAGTAAAAATTGTGTTGCTTGAAAATTGGAGTGTATTTTCTTCCCTCTAGCTTTTGACTGTCAGGAATTTAAATTCGTATGCACTGCTTTCCTCCAATCTATCAATTTAATTCTCCCAGCAAAATAGAACAATTTTTACTGTGCTGTCTCCCAGTGTTACTTCTTGCAAAAGGATAGTGGAAACTGCTCGAGCTGGACAAACTTTGATACCTTGAGCGGTGATATCTATTTGAGTGTAATCCATCACATTTTCCACTTCAGTATAATTGTAACTTTAGGGCATTCATCTTTCTTCGAATCAAATTTTTTTGGTAGTGGTAAAACTGTTAGTTCCTGTTGACAAAAATTTCAAGCTTATCAGCAGATCTGCTTTTTTGACACAGCAGTTTTTGATGAGGACTGGTTTCCTTTTTTCTTTGAGCTCTGCCAAATTGTCTTGAAGTCCTCCATGAAAGCTAATGAGTCTCATGTCTGAATTACCATCACTGTTAATCCCATCGAAGTGCTCTGTCCCAGTTTTGGCTTTCTTGACCGGAGACAGATTGTCATTGCAAAGTGGACATCAGCACTTCCCTCTTCTTGCTCTATTTCAGATATGGAATTAAAGCAAGGTATAATTCTACATTTTTCATTTTCCTTTTATAGAAAAATAAAATTGTACGTGTGAAGCAATACGTATACTGATACAGGAGGCAGAATATATGTGGAACATTCTACATGGCAAAAACTGTTGTCCACACTCTTCCATTTGACATGAGAATATCACAGTGGCTTTTACTATGTGGCTAAATTATTGTCATCAGAATGCTACGTAGCACTATGCCTATAAATAAGAGGCCTCAATTGGTTTCATTCCACAGTATTATACTGTTACAAAGCCTTTCCTGCCCTGTCACTGAAGTCCAAAATAAAGATGAGCACAGAGGAATTGTAAGAAACTATTGTATAGCTAACTGCTTGAGAATGATGTAACTATAACAAATTTATCTATTGTAGGAAGACGCATTAGAAGATGAAGACAGAGATATGAAGACTGTCAGTATCCATAAATTTTCATTTGATTTAGTTCATTACTCTCTTTGACTTGTATATGTTGTGCAGTTTTTGAGATTGCAATTAAAGAGTAGAAGAAAGAAAATGAAAGAAAGGAAAAGTGGCATTGTGTGCCTACCATGCTAAAACTTTTGAAGTATATCTATAATAGCTACATATAACAATAAAATTACTAGAACAATGTAGAACATTAAGGGGCGAGCCTGAGCGAAATATTCAGTTCAGTTTTGACTTTTATTATCAATTTTGTAAAAAATTCATTTTCATCAATAATGTTTTTAATTAATTATTGTGCAACAAACCAACTGAATTAAATCAAAATAATGATCCCAAGTTTACAATAGTGAATGAATCACAGTTTGATGAATAAATTGAAGTTAAATGATTGTCAAAGGAGAGTCATTAATCAGATGATGCTGAAGGCACTTTACTCACAGTCTTTATTGTGTTAGTTGCAGTATAGTATTGCACTGATATCTCACCACTACTTAGTAGATTTTCCTCAAGTGTCTCACCATCTACATCTGATATAATGTCTTGCATATGCTCATTATACGCAGTGAGGTACCACTTCTTAGATTCTTGTGAGAGAAGAATTTTTGCTGATTTACAACTGTTACAATGGCTTAATTTCGGTGTTGCTTGACACTTAATGCACCTTGCAAGAACTTCACTAACATGACGAACTGATCCAGTACAAACCATGCAGCTGGTGTAATCAGTTACACTTAATATGGAAACAATTTCACCATAAGCTTTTATTATTGGATGTGTTGCTTGAACTGTAATTTCATCATCCTCATCTTCCTCAGGTAGATCTATTTCAAGAAAATCAAGGAGCAGCTCAACTGATGCACCATCACAAAAGGACAGGTATTTGATTCCTTCAAACTGCTTTACTAATACCTTGACCAACTTGTAGCACTTCCCTTTCTCCAACATACTGGTATCCTTCTCCCACAATACAATTCGACAACACACACTTAAATCTCGAATCACAATCTTGTTTCATTAGTCGCTTTCCAAACTTCGTTGTTATCTCAACTATTTCATCAACTTCAACTACTTTACCACAGGTGGAGGTGTGCTGGTTGACATTAGCTGCAAATACTTGGTCTATGGCAACAGTATCATCCACAATCTCAGCTTTATCAACTTAAAATTTCTTTGGAGAATCTTCTACAGTAGAAAACCTGGTTGTTACTACTTCAAGGTTAGAGTCAAATTTATTTGTTTGAACTCGACAATCGGTGAGAGCAAGAGAAGTATTCTGATCTTTGAGTTTTTCTATTGATGATCTCAATTTCGGTTCAAAAGAAAAGAACTTGACTGATTTATTCCCATTGCTGATTTTCCCATGAAAGTAATTACAATTTTCCCTATTCCTGCCCTTTTTAAGGGGTGACAACTCTACTACTTGCCCATGAACAGTGACATTATACTTCTAGTTCGCTGACATCATATGAACGCTTTGTAGGAGTAGAGCTAAGTCTAGGAGCAGACGGGTCCATCCAAACACTGCTTACAAAAGAGCTTAAGGAAGACGTATTTCGCTTAAGGAAGATGTATTTCGCTTAAGGAAGACGTATTTCTGTTAGAGGGTTGCGACAAAATTTCCTTTACTTTCTCTTCTGTCTTCTCAACCTCGTGACTGACACTCCATTGTATAGATCTATAAATAGATTTCAGTGACCAGGCCTAGATTCAGGGTTTGTCTATTTTTAGTAACTTTAAGCTTACTAATTATAACTTTAAAAGTGAACTTAGTCTTAGACCAGACCTGTTTAAAAATGGCCGATGATGGTGAAGCTCATGAGACTGATGCTCGTCCTAATGATACTGCAGTTGAAGACGAAAATGACGATCTTTTTTATGATAGTGTCGATTGGTGCAAAGTTGCTACACAGAAAGAAAATAAAATAAAGGAACTTAAAGGTGACAAAAGACTCTGGGGAAAGGTATTAAAGAGCGTGAAAGAAAGTTGAAGAGTTTAACAGCAGATTATGACAAAATGAAAAACAATTACGAAAGAGTAAAGTTTGATTATGAAAAACTGCTAAAAGAGCATGCATCTTTAAAAATGGGAAAAGGAAAACTTCAGAGTGATTGTAATCAACTGAAGGCCAATCATGACGATTTGCGAAGTGCTAATTCCATGTTAAGAAGTGATCAGTACAAACTGCAGTCTGATTATGATCAGATAAGGAGTAAATTAAATAATTTTGAGGCAGAAGAAAGAAGAAAATTGAAAAGGCAGAGACTTGAAGAACAGAAGCAGGAGGAGAAAATGCAAATCAAAAGAAGAGTTAGATTGGAAGAGCCAAAGTAAGGGAAGAATTGCGTGGCAATCAACATTATAATCAACAATACTTCAATTAATTATTGTTAAAACAATCTCTGAACAATAATAATAATAATATTATTACCGGTAATATAGTTTTTTTTCTAATAAAAATTTGATAACAATAATGTAATAATGAAAAATACCAATAAAATCAATTATTTTGCAGTGTTCTTGCATCCTGTGTTTACGCAGGGTGTTGGCCAGTACTATCGCGAAAATGTGACACTGCACACTGGCCCACCCACCCTACCACCCGTTTGGGGCCTATAGAAGGGGGAAAAAGCAATATGATCATAACAGTTGGAATAAATGTTTCAAAGGTACATATACCTTGTAATTAAAGCTACTTGAAGTGATGTGTTGATGATATGGTCTTCATCTGGTCCCCATTGCAAGTCCATATAGCGCATCTAGCTCCGTAGAATAGCACTATGTCTTTATCTAGTGCCCAAGTCCTATATAGGGCACCCTAGCTCTGTATGCACTGAAAGCACATACATGTCTGTATCTAGTCCCAAAGTTCATAGGGCAACCAGCTCTGTAGTACTGCATGAACAGCACTACGGGTCTGTATCTAGTGCCCAAGTCCTAAGGCAACTAGCTCTACAGTACCAACTGCCAATAAGCAAGTTGAGCTGCTTCTCAAACTGTTACTGAGTAGCAGCCAGTGTGTGCATGATCAGCATGCAGTTTGAGACAGTCATCTCACTTACATAACAATTAGCACAGTAGGTCTGTGTTTTGTCTTTCTTAATTCTTCTTTCTTAATTCTTTATTATCTGAGCATCATTCAGCACTACAAGCAAAGTTCACTGCATTCATCAGCCATGAAAACTATATAAAAAGCGATAACAAAATTAATAAATAGCATGAACTATGATACAATGTGTATAACTAGCTCATAAAATACATAAATGAAGAGCTATAACTTATCTCCAAAATCTGGTAATATTCCATTAGGTAGTGGGGGAGGTGGTGATGTCATCCACTCCATGTGTGCATGTGAGGTATCTCCATCGTTGTTAGTTCCACCTGGTGTGTCTTCAATCTCCGGTGTTAATTCCTGAAGACTAAGTAGACGTTGATCTTCTTTTCTCTCATGAAATGAAAGCTCACAATTATTTAACCGATGAGACTTGGAACTCAAGATAAAGTAGTTAATTAGGGAAAATGGTCAATAATAAATTGCACACTGTAACAGTGCACATGCCCCACCAGTATGAACATGCATTTATTTTGTGCTCATGACAGAAAAGCAAATTTAATATGCTACATGTACATGTACATCAATATAAATCAGAAATTGTAATAAAAATTTGACTTGATTCTGGGTCCTACTGTCTTGACTATTATTTAAAATTCACTCATTTAAGAAATGTTTATAATGTGTAACTCAAATATACTTAGTTGGAAACAGCTCAAACTCAAACTTTATACACATCACATTGAACAAAGCATTAAATTTCATCTCAATCATTAACCGAGAAATGAAACAGTAAAAATAATTAATCAAACATGTATAATCTCAGTTTAATCTAGTAGTAAATTTTGAGAAACTATTGTAGCTAACAATGGGAGAATGAAGTTTATAAATTATACATAAATTAATAAGCTAAAAATTATATAGATTGCAGGAAGCCAACATGTAAACCAAATATGAGGAACCAAGTTAATGTCCTTACAGTCTGTCTATAGATTTAACATTACTGAATGTATTAATAATTAGTAGTAACATATACTTGTTGTCTTATTTGTACTCAAACAAAGTGTCAAGAATCCCTGCTGTTTTAGTTATTTCTTGAAATAAATGAGTTTTTAGAGTCAGTGTACATGTTTATTACTGATCACTAATACCACAATCGATAATTTATCTAATAGTCACAACTATTAGAATGAAGAAATTATGAAAAGGCAATTAATGTTAATGAAGAAAAGTAACACTAGACAAAGATGAACTTTGACTATTAGTTAAATAATATAATACATAGAATTACTAGAGCAGTTGGAGGAGCTCTTCGAGTGGTGCCGCCAACTGATGCGGAAAGTATTAGATTTAAGGCAAGAGGTAGATGATAAAGATACAGAAGTAGTACCATTAAGGCAAGAGGTAGAAGATAAGGATACGGAACTAAGGCAAGAGGTAGAAGACATAGATACGGACTCAATACAACTAAGGGGAGACGTAGAAGAAAAAATTTGGAGGTAATCTGGCTAAGGTAAGAGGCAGAGGATGAAGATTGGGAGATTGGGTTTTGGCGGCGGGAATGTGGTAGAGTGCGTGAGAGCTTGAAAGATTCAGAAGACCAGAGACCAGGGGGTGGGGGCGCTATATATTTCGTTGGCTGCTCTTGGAATCCCATCAAAACAATAATAGTATGGGACCATAGGGCATATTTGGTCTGGTGGGTGGTATCCGCGGTAATGGTTAACATGTACATGTACAGTACAGCTCCTCATAGTGAACACTTTAAAAATTTGTAAAAATATAACTTTGATTGGAATGAGGATACACAATATTGGTACATGTATATGTACGATCAGAAATAATTTTAAAAATTAATAATCCTTTCATTTAAAATTTTTGGCTAAATTTAACCTAGACAAATGTACGATATAGTACAGGACTGGCGTCATTTTGGAGCAACTTTAGATTTATAAAAAATTGAATTCTGATGAACTGTCCATACTACATAAGAGGTGCATTTGTTTCAAAAAAATTAGAGTTCTCTCCTTTTGTATTTTGGCAAAATTTGACCTAAAACCATGTAATATAGGAGAATTTGGCTCGATTTCAAAGCAACAATAAAATTTAAGAAAATATCTAATTTTTATTGGAATAAAGTCAAATTTTCTACACAACATACGTACAAGTAATTGTAGCAAAAAATTATAAAAATGAGAAAGTATTTTATTATAAAAATTTTGGTAAAATGTTAGCCAATTTATGTAATATACACATGTAGTAACAGGGTACTATTTGTCTTTACAATTAAAATAAACGCCTTTTACAGGTGTCTTGTTTACAGCCTTGTTAAAAATTAAATGTCCAATTCTAAAAATGAAAGCTTAGAGTGATGTGATCATGTATTAGTGTGATACCATGAATCTTAATAAGGCTATGAGGTGTAGAATGAGATAATTCCTAAATATATCAACCAATGAAACATGACAATAAATACATATACATCTATTACAGAGAAATAAATAATTGTATTGATTAAAATTACCATACTCTGAGCAAAGGGAGTGGGCTCATTAAGTGTGCACATAAACAGTGGGCCAGGGTTTGATCTTGTGATATTGCAAGCTAGAAAGAAAAGAATATAAAGATTATTATATAGAAGTAGGTACCTTAATTTTGTAATAGTTTAAGTAACAAATGGGACCTCAAATGTTTTTGAACAATTTTTAAAATTTTTATATTCATAGGACTCATCCCTAATAAAATACAACAAATAATGCATCATCTCAAATTTAGTGAAAGCATCAAATAGAGCTAGAAAGCAGAAACAAGTGGCAAATATGCATGTACATGTAAATATATACATTTGCAATGTAACTGTATTTACCTGTCATCAATAAGCATGTTTTTCATTTC